AGTGCTTCGATTATCCGTCCTACATGAGACTTGTGATAACAGTCCCTATTGACATGTTGGAAGAGGCCGGAAGTAGAATCTACGAGTTTTGCTTGCGGCATCACGCAAAGAATACAGAGAAGCTGATGAAGCACAGCATATCAGACCTATTAAAATGACCTAAAGGGATAAAAATTCGGTATTGTCTGTGAACTCGTCACAAATTTAGCCATACCATACGAATAAGTATAAATATCCGTTACTTCACCTGTCGTTCATGTGCAAACTTCGCTAGTGTGCAAACCCATGGAAGAACAGTGAATGAGTGTGCGAAAATCCAGAAGATTTGTGCTGAAAAAAAAAATGGAGAAACAAAACTGCAGAGTCCCTTATTGATGGTGAATACCGATGTCTCCATACGTGATGGAAACCGTGAAATAGTAGAGAATAATATTCGAACGTGTGCGTGACTTGTGCGTGAATGGTGTGAACGAAGCATTGTGTTAGCTGTCCACGGGAATACGTGGCTTTACAATCATTCCTCTATTTTTTATTTTACCTCCTCAGTTTTTTAATAAAGAAACAATCGGAAACAGGAATTTTCACAATTTCGACTGCATCATTTAACTCCCTTCATTACCAGATTAATATCACGAGAGTATTGATCGGGATGTTGTAAACTGTAGGAACAATAAAAAATTCAATGTGAAACGCTTCGATCGTATCAAAATCTAGGGCGGAATTGATTTTCGTTTTTGAGAGTTCACCTGTAGTTACCATTCGCTGCTGGAAATTTTAATGTTTCATGGGTTTCATAAATGCCAAAAAATGTCAAATGTCAGTCACTAATTTTTCCTTAATTTTCATATGAATTAAATATTTAGGAAATAAAACACGTGCTGAAGATAATTCATTTAATAATTGCTGGAATCAATCCTTCAGTCGGAGAATCCTGTGAATCACCGATTCGCCGGTTATCGAAGTGAGTTGTCTCCGAAGTTGAATAATTGGTAATTTTTTCAAACAATTTCTCGACATTCAGCGGAATTCATTGAAAAACTCAATGAAAACCGATGGAAATCAAAAAGCAGTCTGGCATTATTTTGCGGAACGACTGTACTTATTCTATTGTACCGGAAAGTCGTTCTGTTCTATTCCATCCACTCGGTGGATGTATGCACAGGTCGTTATCACATACCAATGCACTTTATACACACATCAGTATTAACATTGTAACGACCAGTACAAACGAATCGTCGTGACATTTCAGATCAATGGCCAGTGTGCGAGCATAAAGTTGAGAGACATAAACATTGAATTATTTCCCTGAGTAACAAAACAGAGTGAAGGGGTTGAGGGAGAGGAAATGGGTGGCAGTGGGTGGCAGTGGGTGGCTGTGGGTGGTAGTGGGAGGGAGTAGATATCAGTGCAGTTGATGGAAAAAGAAAATTGTTATCTCGTCGCACATCAAATTCATTGTGGAGAGGCTCCAGTTTATTTGACCTGTGGGATATAGGTGTAGAGATATTGATCTGACCTCCAGTGGTACCGAACAGAGCATGACCTCTGCAATATAAACCCATGAATTTTGTAATTACCGTAGTTGATATTTTTGCCATGAAATAAATTTCAACTGTCCCAAGTTAATTGACGAGCGAGCACAATAAATTTTATTAATGCTGGGTGAGAAATGCCGAGTTAATAACACGAGATAGTAATGAGAGATGATTTTTTTTGCATGCGGTGTGTGGAGAGGAAAAAAAAATTGGACTGACGGGGGACAATGGGACAAATGCACGGGAAATATTATTCATTTGGCGGTGAACAAACTGAACATTTCCGGGGATAGTGTCGAATGGATAGACGGCCTAGTTACACACGTTCCTCTGCGAATTATGAATGAGTCTCATCGCTTCGGCTTATCCGACGTCCGTGTCACTTTTTTTTTATTAACGTGGGCTCCTGCATTTTCATATAGGCTTATCGTAAGGGTAAACACTGGCACCCGGAGGGCATGGAAAATGAGTCAACAGGAGCGGTAAAATTATAATAGACTAATATTTATTGAGGGTCTTCGAAAAATTCAATGACTGTTTCGTTTTCATATTCACCAGCGCAAAAAGTTGTCCTGGAAAAATTCGAATAATTGGTCTCATCAATTTTTCCGTCGTCAGCAACTGATATTGGAAATTTACTGATTTTTTATTTCCTTCAATTGAAAAAAAATGGCCCAAATGCTTAATCTACTGTGAGTAATATACACTGTCGTTACTGAATTGATAAATACGAGTTTACTCTGATTCACACTTCACATTTTTTTTTATTACCTGTTCTGGATTCTCATTTTGCATTTTTTCAAGTAGATTTCACTGAGGACTGGAATTTCTGGTCGCAATGAATTGAAATCAATGAAATAAATTACCTTTTTGTGCTCACAATATTATTTTCCAGTATCCACTGGCATTATTGAATACCGGACAAATGTCCTGCACTACGTGCAACGAAAATTGGAATTGGCATTCAATATTGTATTAAGCATATTCAAGTACCTCTCATCATCCGGTATGCATTTCAATCATTAAATATATCGGATACATGAATTTGATTGCGGTCGTGATATAAAAATGTACATAAAAATATACATGCGTAATTCCGCGATTCATATTGCGACCACCGAAAACTTGAAAGTTTAACAGCCGAATTCTCCTCAATATTTTTCCCCTCTTCCTTTATACATTAACAACGGGATAAAAAGTATGAGATATGTTTAATCGAGCGAATAGTGTACGCCCGAAAAATCGTCGGATTTTTCTTGACTGTTATACAATATCCCGACAAAAAGAAGGAAGTGAATCCTTTTTCGTGTGATCCACCACACAGTGACAAGTATTTCCTCCTCTCCGGTTTCAAAATTCGCCGAGTGAACAGCAGATATACACCGTGAATTATTGAGTGGCACTCGTGTGCAAAATCGTGTCTGAAGTTTTTCCCTCTGTTGAAAGGTGAGCCGAGTGGATGGGAGAGGATATAGAAATTTCCATTTTTTCGATAAACTTTTTCGGCTGACCGGCGTCGATGGTCAACCTGGCCAGCCAGTCGACGATTCAAGAGTATTCTATGGTCGGGGGATTTCGCGTCGATCTATTACCGGAAGTTGGACAATAGCGTCTCCACGGTGAATCGTTTTTGCGGGGAAAATACAACGGACATACGATATATCCACCTGGTACGCGTTGGCTGTTAACATTACGGTGAAAAGTCATTTCGTGGCATTAATGGTAAACATCAGAAATACTTACAAACATATAATTATTTGAAAATATTGAAAATGCCCTAGAAGGTGGAATAGCAGGTGGCTAAAAGGGAGTATGACCTGCACAACATCTGAGCCATCTTGTATTCCATAAATGAGGAGCAGTAAATAAATTAAACCGTTACCCAAGCCATGCCAATGCCAGTAAATCCAGTATTCATTTTTCAATAATTGCAAGAGCTGCTGAGTGGTGTAAATAAAAATACCGGTGATAAATACGCAGGAAAAAAAATTTTGAAAATTGCACTCCCCAATTTTTTTATTATTCCAGCAGAATCAAGTGGCTGAGAAATTTTATTTCGCGGTTTTTCTAATGTAGTTATAGTTATATGTAGTTATATGTATCACGAGGAGGTCGAATATGGGTCATGGGGAGGTCATGTGTTGTGGGATCATCTCGGCATCATTTGAGCTCATACAGGAGTCATAAAGGAGTCATAGAGGAGGCGACATAAATATCATTGGACCCGATAGGGTTATATGGAAGTTATAAAGCCTCATGTGGAGGTAATATAGAAATCATAAGTGAGATTGCAATGGATCTCGTTCCTTTCGGCAACGGCGAAAAAACTAGAGTAATAATAAAAGGAAAATTACAAAAAAAGAGATAACTCCGTCGTTATTATTATCCGATCAATTGTCATTGAATTAATTGAATTAGACCAATGGGATGAGAATATTCTGTCACTCTCGAAGCCACCGTAAAATCCTGGAATCGTCATAAAAAGCCAGGATATCTTCGAGTGAGTTTTCGCAGTCGAGAAAGATGATGGGTTGGTCGGTCGATCTACCGTAGACTGATCCATAAAACCAGCCTCAACCTTTGCGGTCCCTCACCACCATTCGAATCTCGCCCTTTCAAAGCTTCAAGTCCCGAGGACTTTATAGGAATTCTCGAGAGGTACGGAGAGTCGAGATTCATGTCTTCTTCTGGGTCCTTCAACCCGTGGATATCGACTACGTGACACAGCCATGAATCACATCTAATTCGTTCGGGGGAGAAAAAATTTCACAAAAATTACCATGAAAATACCGTAAAAATGACGCTCCGAAACGTAAACCCGATGTATCATATCACAAGGAGAAAAATTTATAGTTAAATTTATCCTGACGTTGTGCATAATACAATGAGTCTAGCGAAAATTACAATATTTTTTGTAGATTAAATGTCAGAGTCTTTTTTACTGCGATTTTTTCCCGTTTTCAGGAACATACGTTGGGAAAAGAGTCATTGTTATGAGTGTTGCACAGAGAATGAATTAACTTTCGTTAAAATTACGGAACTCACGTAAAAATACACTGCAGTAAGGTTTAAATAAATTAAATGCATGTAGATGTTTGATGAATCACTATTTGAGAGCAACCCACAAAAATGTAGAAATATTTTCCTTTCGGTAAATATTCTGTTTCGACTCAATAGAATTCATGGAATTGAAAGGTAATATTTACTTTTTGCGGTGTAATGTCCCTTCAATTTCCATGTAGAAATAATCGAGACAGAAAATTCGTCTCCCAATTAGGTGAGTCAAATAATACATTTCCCTCTACACATTTTTCTCTATTTTTCTCTGAATCCGCTATTCGGTTTACCCTACAACAAAAAAATTTGTAAAATTTCTATGAATGTGAAAAAGGGGAGTTGAATGGTGTGGTTTTAGTTGAACAAAAACACATTCCCAGCATGAGAGCAATAAATTGAGCCATTACGTCATGATTCATAATGCTTCATCCCTTTAGAACCAGTAATCCCCTTTTTCCCTGCCCCATCCAGATACTTTGTTACTCGTGCAGACATGTCTGAGTTTAATACCTCATACCGCAATACCGCTGAAGGTATACCAAAAAAATGCACCCCGGTGTGAAAAAATGACTAATTTGATAATCACCTGGTGGCCAGATCTGAAATATTATTTTCGTGATTTGTGAATTGAATTCGGGGAAAATATTGTCGTTGTTAATTAACGAATCCCGGCGTAATCGAGAGTAAAATTTCCGCGAGGAGCTACTCTCCGTATTTTTCGAATCAAATGAATATTGCGTAACAGCAGTGCGGATTTTAATGATTCCATGCAATAACAATCGCAACGATTAATTGGGCTCTCCACATATTTTTTATAATGATCGGCTGAAATTTCAGCGGGTATTGGTAATATTTATTAAAACAGACAATTGAATAAATTTTAATTGGTTCCGGATGAATATTTTTCATTTCTGGAGGAATTAGCAGAGCCAATTTTTTTCACTCATGCATTTCCCATTTTTCCAGTTTTTATCGCAGCATGCCAATTTTTTGTTTTGTATTAAAAAAAAGAGATGAAATCTTTTAATTTTCCATTGAATTAAAAATTTCATGATTCCTCTCCCTAGAAAATCACCACCAGAGACTATCTCCAATCACAAATAAAAAAAAACACAAATCATGTTTAAAAAATGAAAAGTGGTCCCGGGATAATGATGAATACAAGAAATCCCCAATCGAACAACTGAAATAATTCCACGATGAAACGGCAAATCTTTCCGCCCCAAAAGGCGAGAATAAATCGCCCAATGAATCACACCAATTTAATATCGACACTACCATAATTTCCTGGACCATCTGCTGTTTACCCTGAGGATGCAAAATGTGTTTTCATCCCCCTACATATTATTCGGCGTTGCTGGCCTCATCCACACGAACGGATCCACATACAGAGGATTGGGGAAGGATAGAGGGTTTTTCACCTAGAACTTCCCTCGGCAATACAAGTGCTGAACGATAGTCAGTCTTCCGATCGTTTTCATACCACCCGGTTTGTTTGCACTACCCCTGTTACCACGATAGTTCAACTGAAAAGAGAACATCGAAGATGTTATGAGGACTATAAAAAAATCATGAGTAAGAACGGCGTCTGGTTTTTCACATTTCGTTCGAAATACGCCTGCCTCGAGGGATTTCTGGCTTCTTTCATCCCCCAACCCTCACAGCTTTTCTTCATCTGTGTCAACCCCTTGTTTACCCAAACACCGAAGGAAAACGTTTCGTTGTTTCACTCGGGCAATATTTCATTGCAAAATTGACATCATAGTGTAATACAAAACATCCTTTGAAGATTTTCCGTCGAATACCGTCAACATCCCTTTATATACGTAACGGGAATATTTTGTTTACGCGGGATAGGGTGAGGCTTGAGATCAAAACATCGAGGGAGGGTCTTTGGGAGAGAGAAATTAAAAGTCGAGAAGATTGGACGGCCTTTTGTTGGAGGACTATTTTTGGGATTATGAAATTGCTTTCTTGAGGTGGGAAATATCACGAGGTACTGGCGGGGGGAACCCCTTCATTTTGCGTTGGCAATTTTTGCTTTTAATTTATGAGATAATTTATGATGCGCTTGGAAAATTACACGGGAAATTTACAACAACCGCAAGTTACATGAAATTTCTCTGGAACTAGCGTATGTTGCGCGCTAAAAAATCTAGATATTAAAAGAATCTCAGATATCTCAAAAAATTGCCCACCGCGAAAACCGCGAAAATGTGGGAAATTCGGGGAATAATTTCCCTGAATTTTTAAGGTTTTATTGAAAAATTCATTATAATTCGGTATGAAAAACCGAATGTTTATGTATAATAAAAATAATAAAAGCCTGAAAAATGGAGAAAAAACAAAAACTTTTGGCTCATGATAATTTTAATCCACCCTCCCCCATTCTAAAAATGCTTTAATTCCCGGTGAAAGCACAAAAATAGAAAGTTTGTCAAACTTGCCGACCTCTAAGCTGTTGTTGTTGTTATTACAAGTTCATTAGTAAGATTGATCATTTTTTCAATTCAACTCCTCCTTAAAGCCATTCATCCACGGTATTGTGAGACTTTCCTCCGTCGGGTTTTCATTCCTCTCCAGTTTCATCCTTTCTCCACAATACAAAATGGGGAAGGGTGCAGCAAGCAAGTAGAGTTAATCCTCCATCCTGCAATTATCCGAGGCTCGAGTTGCGGAATAAAAAAAAATGAGGGTAAGGGACTCCAATGAAGGGAGAATTAAAGTTTCAAAGAGACAATCGCCGGTTCTTCGAGAGTGCGAAATCAGACAGGTATGAGGATAATCTTTTTTGAAATTTTAATGATTAATCTGCACGTAATTCAATTCCATATTGCAGGTTGTATGAGAAAATTGCGACAGAATTTTTGCTGAAATTTCGGGAAATCAAAATTCGTGCGAATTGTGGAATATTTTGGAAAATTCTGGAAAATTCTGGAAAATTCTGGAAAATTCTGGAACATTCTGGAATTTTTTTTCGCAAACCAACTCAAGCTTCTCATCAATTCCGAAAAAATTTGGAAAATATCCACAAAATAGTCATTAATATTGAATAATCATTGTGGTATGAATTCAATAAAGATAATATCTTCTGTCAGTACACTATCTGCAAACGCTTTCATACGATAATAGACGTATTGGTATTATTAGTAGTATCGCTGTCATTGGTCGAGGGGGATCAATTGAAAGCTCTCCACATGCAAATCGAATTCATCAACGAAAATAGTTTATCTCAATTGATGGCATTACAGCGCCTGGGTAGAATGCATTAACCATTGAATTACATGTACTCCATTTAACAATAATGAGACCGTGATAATAATCGTCCATCGAGTATCACTCGAAGCGATTTTTTTCCCATTATTTACCGCTCGATTCGAACGATCTATTGCTACACAGAGAGACATAAATTCGATATTCCTGAAATTCCCTAATTATTCCAAGTTTTGGAGCCAGAAAAAAATTACAGAAAATGTTAAAAACGCAGGATAAAAATTCCTGTGAATTTTCGTGGACAAGGAATTCTGAATTTTGAATTTTTTCATGTTGTACCTGAAATTTTGTTGTTCGCTGAGCTAGACCTCTGGATACGTAAAGATGATTCTCCTTGATTCTCTTAAAAGTTGATTTCAAAAAGTCGTTCTCAAATTTCCGTGCTTCCAAGCTCCATGAACCTGACGAATTCCAGTTTAATGCAATGTAACGCAAATCTTGTAAACTGAAGGGACTTACAGATTTTGCAGTAAACAAGCAGCAGTGTTCAAGGCATCCTTAATCCCGCCTCGATTACCCCATCCAAAACTCTTCCGAAATGAGCCGAAATGGTGGTAAAGGTCGGTAGGTTATGAGCTTGGAGAAATCGGAGAGTCCACGGATTCAATTCCAAGCACGAGCGCAAATGGTCTGGTATTATTGTATATCGACTTTCGGAAGTTTCTCCTCATGTTCAATAATTTCTGTTCTAATCTCCACCGCACCTAAATGCATCCTCCATCCCGATGTAAATCTGGACGCCTTGACTTCCAGTTCATCCCCGAACTAATCTCGTTTTTTGTTGATCAACTTCCTGCTAATTCCTCATTTTTCCGATCTCAATAAATAATGAAAAACATTTTCTCATGACATAATCTCACAACCAAGCCAATGACAATTAAACTTCTTCCAGTAAATGAATATACTCGAAAGCAATTTTTTTTAATCGAAGAAAAATCATTTCGTCCAAAACGTCAATGACAGCAATGAAAAAACATGCGACAAATACGACAAACGAGCCGGAAGCCCAAAAAATAATCACTCAAAGCCCATTAAACCCCCAATTACCCTCCCCCGGTGTACCCCATCGAAACATTAAAAGCATAATGTGGCAGGTTCTAAAAGTTGTCAAGCCCTACAGTAGACGAGAAACCAGACGCACTCAATACGCTGACAAGCGACTTTCACCCCTTGATAAAAATGCGTACGGGGTGCTACCGAGGGCTTTCACGGTCCTGTCACCATGTGTATCACCGGGTGGAGTGAGTGACACAGCCAACGACTGAGACCGACAATATAACCACGTATAACCTCTCGGCTTACACGAGAGCCCTTAAACATCAGAGGGCGTCGATGGTGGGTGCGAGAGAGACTAGTTCCGTCACCCCAACACGAACCCATCCATATGAAAAAAGATAGGGTGGTGGGGACGGTGGATAGGGGGGGAGCGTGCGTCGATAGGGGTCGCCGTCTCGGGAGGGTTCGCTGGAGGGGTGAAACGAGGGCTGTGAGGAGGGGGCAATGAGGGTGAGTGTGGGGGTGAAGTGAAGGCGCTGGCGCAGTTGCCACCAGGGCGTCGTGGGGTGTACGTGGGGGTGCATTGAGTGACTACGTGGGGAAGGGACGGAGGTAGAGGGGGCAAGTGCTGGAAGTGTGGGTGCAAATGGGAGGGGGTGGTACGAACGTATAGAACGAAAGAGACAAGAGGCAGTGGTGGGGAGTTTGTACGCCAAACGGAACAGCCTCAACCGAGTTTTATCCAACGATCCGGGAGGCTCGTTTAGGTAGTGGTCCGCGCCCCACAGCCGCGACAACTAGGGGGACTCATCTTCAACAGTGTGTTTAGTGTGTAAAGACGTGTGCCGCCTCAGAGCCGGAACGGGTTTTATGTGGTTTTCTGTTGCGCGGGTATTATGAATTTGGGATTTTTGGTGTGAATTATTTATTTTTTTTTTTTTTATACGTCACAATTTGTGGGTGTATTTTGAGTTTTGTGGGTTGTGAGCTGATTGTGGCATTGGACGTTTGACAGCTGACGTTTAGCAGGGTGACTATTTGGTTTTAATTTGGGTGGTTTTTGTGATTTGTCGAGCGTATCAAGTGAAGTTGGGGTCAGGTGGCGATTTTGGGAGGTTTGAGGGGTTTGTGATCAGGGATTAGGGTGCACCGTGGATAAGAGGCACTGGAAGCTGCAGCAGGAGCGGTGACAAGGTATGTGGATCTTATTTTAAGATTTTTTTGGAATAATTTGAGGATTGATTGGGTGTTAGCCTGGATGGAATGTCGGTGAATTATTTTTCTCGCGTATTTATAGCCAAAGGTCGAAGTTCATCGACTTGGGGTATTTGCAGCACCGGTTTCGATCGGAGAGTGACACATTGCAATTGGTTATTGGAAAAGTCGTGTCGCTCTAGATGAAAATGCCCTTAGGCTCGGTTAAATATTTAATACTATCATCCCTGAATATTCAGTGGAATATCCGCGAGTGGAACGCATGTACCCGTGCTTTTCTATTTCGGTTGTGCGCCGGCCCAGTGAGCTTTCGCGTATCGTAAGTGGAAAAAGGGAGGTTTTGCCGTTGGAGATGACTCCGAGAATAACCGGAGAAATTAAGCAAAAATTTTTTTCGATTAGCGTACTATGTGCCGTTGGGGGGAACTGATGGGGGGGGGATTTTTAGCGCAGTTGGTGTAGTAAATGAGAAGGACAGGTGCTGTTTTATGGTGGATAGGTGGTGGCCCGCGCGTAGTGGTTTCGCGTGGACGCTCGACCCCTGCGACGTGTACCGAGGGGATGGGGATGTGGGGGAGTCATTGCGCCCGCGCACACCACAATGTGAAGAAACTACTCGGGGCTTTATACATATATTTTTTACCTCTCTGTGTATTTTGCAACGCCAACTGACACTACCGCGGGAGGGGGGAGTAAAAATACGGTGGGTTTACCCGATACATTGAATTTAATGATTAACCCACAAACGACTGTCAGTCTGATGAACTCCATAAAGTTTATCTCGACACGGTGCAAGTGCCGGCGAGTTGCATCAAATGGGATTATTGATTTTTCGGAGGATTTAAAGTGGCCCACGTTTTCTGGGAACTGGGGAGGGGCAGCTTTGGGTAAATAAATAATTCAGGGGTGAGATGATCACGGGTGTTTGATGGGTCAGAGAACCGCATCGGGGGATGGAAGGCTACTTTTTTTTTTTTTTTTTTGGGATAGCTTGAACCATGGAATTTAGGGGGGGTAACGTGCACTTGGACGTTGAGGGCGGCTTCAACGAGGCTTCCGGATCGATCGGTGTATTTGCTGTCTCGTTTCATCCTCGGAAAGGTGGAGGACGTGCTACTTTTCCTACGCTTTCCTGTTTTTACGGATTCACCATTGCGGATGAATTCCACGGGGAAGACGCCAGGGAAACGCCAATATTTTCTCATGCATGCGTGTGGACTGATGGGAATTGTTTTCTCGGGGGATTTTCGCGCCCACAAAGATCTACAAGGGGGATCGATATGTTGGGATGGCTAAGTGGCGTGTCAGTCTTGTTTATGGGAAATGTCGATAGTGGAGTGCGATGTGGATTTTAGTTTGTTTGATGGGCTTCGATTGAATTTATTCCCGACGGTCTGCCCACACGAAAAATACTGTAGGTCTTTTCAAATATGTTTGAAACAATTATCGACGTGAATTTTCATTAAAACATATTTTTCATGAATATTTTACATATTTTTTATAATTATATCTATATGATACTTATTATTACTATTATTATTGTGAGTATTATTATATTATAAATATAATTATAAAAAATATGTGAATACACATGAGAAAAATGTTTTAATACGCCAATAATTTTTTTGAATATATAGCAATTTTGAAGTTGCGAGTAAGATATTGAAAATTTTAGGCGGAATTCAAAATGAATCCAATTTAGTTCCTTTGACAATCTGTTGGGTATTGAATGATCTGGAAGACGAGTGCTTTCGAAAGAAAATGCCGAAAGCTTTTTGGCTTGGTGATATCCTCTTCCCGAAAGAGGAAAAATTCAAATAAATTGACTCAGTGACCTTTTCATATCTGCTTGCGCATACGAAATGTCTTGATGTGTTTTTTGAGAGGAAAAAGTCTGACATGCTTTGAATTTTCCTCGAACAGAGATTTTTAGACATTTTCTTAACAACCACCTCTTCCTCAGGTAAATTATTAATCATGAATATAGACTCGGGAGTTCCATTTGTTGATAAATAGTAATTCACTTTAAGAGTAGACACTTCTGGGAAGTTATTTCAGAATATAATTTGCTCTTGAGTCATTCACTCCTGAGGTGAATTTGTAATGATCTCATATGTCATAATGAGTTCTGTTGGCGTCAGGAAATATGTTTTGTCCGAAATTTGCTTGGTCGTTGGGAGTTGGTGTGAAGCCCTAGTTTAAAAGCAATTACCGTAAATTAATTTCTCAAAAAGGCAATGAATTCTAACTTGTAACTCGGGTATTTTTACTGTTTTTGTATTCAGTTCTCCTCGATTAAAGAAATTCCTGGTGTAAATAATTTGATTAACAACGTCGTTAGATCACTTCTTCACAAAAATAGAATTATAGTGGCGACGAGGATTTTTAGGGCACAATTTCTGAGATAAATTGACAGTGATGTCAGATGTCAAAGGTGACTCAGCAGCCTTTTACATCCCATGGAATATTGAATTATCTTCATTATGAATCATTCGAGGGAAAAGTGTCGAGTAAATTTTAGCAGACCACTTTCTCAGCTTCACAAAATCTCGACATTTTCCTC